GGTAGCTCCAATACGAAAATTTCAGAGAGTCTGAGTGTCAATTTGATGACAGTGCCGAGCATTCGTAAAGAGTTGTATGAGTCTAATTATATATATATATATATATATATATATATATATATATATCATTTTACTTACATATGTGTGTGTGTGTATGTGTGTGTGAAAATAAGCTAAATAAAGAGATATGAGCAACCATATATGCGTGCGATTACGTACACATACATGGGTTCAAATAACTATTTATTTAATGTTTGGTGAAGACAAAAACATAGCAGAATGTAGTTAAACAGTATAAAGTATATATTAATAATTAGACAAATATCTGCATTTAGAGTACGGCTGAGAGTTTCATGGCTTTCCCGTTTATCAGGCATTAAGAGTTATAAACTATTCAACACACACACATATATATATATATATATATATATATATATATATAATCCACAGACAAACTGTTTCGTTGTATCACAACTCTTCAGTGTCCGGTTGCCTCTAGCTGGGACCGAAAACCGACTGAATTGGCGTCAGTCGGAGATTCTACCACTAAGCCATCGGCGCATGGCAGGGACGAGGGTGAATTTAAGCGTATTTATTTTTAGAAAAAACACAGTGACTGAGAAAACTCGATTCGATTTACCGAGAGTAAGAGTCTTGCATTATTAGCTGTAATAGTCACTGTTTACAAATCCACATTTCCTCCCCAGGGAGCTCAACTGAAATAAATTTTTCAGGAACGTATATAATTATAGTATTCATAAACCAACGGATTGTGCCCCAATAGCCACAACTTTCCTCTCCCCCGAACCGCACCATCGCAGAGCATTAGCTGGGTCAAGCAAGGATATAGAAGTAATAGAATTTGGGGGATTTAGGTAAATCATTATAGGAATTCATTGAGTCTAGAAGAATCCTCAACAGAATGCAGAAAACACAAGACGGCCGTTTCGTCCTATTTTTTTCTCTTACTTGTATACGTTGGGTTAGGAATACTTGTATGAGTAACACAACAGAATTTGTGAGTAGCGACGTAATATTGAGTCTATTCAGTTTTTTCTTCGTTACCGAGGCCCGTCGGTACAGTTGGTATGACGCTTTGGTTGTATCGAAACGGTACAGGTTCGAATCTCGTTAGTGGATGCGCACTGCTGATGAGTCCCCAAAATAGGACGAAACGGACGCTCAGGCCGTAATTTTTTCAAGAACATATATCAGGCCGTAAATTTATACCGGTTAAAGAAACAAGGATGTCTATCTATATGAACACGACTATCCACTGTATATTATTTCAAAAGACAAAAATCCAAAGAAGGATCTGCAATGTAATCGGTCCTGACCTGGCGTCTCGACTTCAGTCAATTTCTCACAAACGTGAGTTGGCTTCTCTCTGTCCTTTCTACAAATAAAGTTTAGGTGCCATATCTATAAAGAGCTTTTCCCTGGTGCTCAGGCTACATGCTACTACATTGGCATCTTTCACTGTTGAATAGTTAAAAATAACCGCTATTTCTACTCCAAAAGTCTCTTTTCTTGCACTTCTCGACTGTGGAATTCCCTTCATCTTACTTGCCTGATAACTACAATCTACAAAAAACTTAAATGCAGCGTTTGCCGCCATCTTGTATTGTTTTGAACTCTCGTTCATCTTTAATTCTCTCCTCAATCCTCCAGTCTTTTCTCTGATTTTCACTTTCTGTAACCCTAACCGTACTAGTACCAATCCCGCCTTGCTTGAGGTGAAATGGTTAAAGAAAAAGTAACTGAGACAAAAGATAGCTTGTTAATTTTAACGCATCCAAATCTAAACTTCGCTCTGTTAATAATCTGAGAGAATACTTTCTGTTTTTCCTCCAGGAAAGTGATTTATGGCGACTACTCGGGATGGCGTTCTCAGCTAGCATGAAGTGTAAAGACTATTATATCGAATCCATTGCTAGGTCAGCTGCTAAGAAAGTTGGTTCACTGTGTCGTGAGATACGTTTTTTTTTCTCTTCAAAATCTATCTTACATATCTATAAGTCTACCATTCTCCATGCTTAGAATATGGCTGCCACATATGGTCCAGTGCCCCTGCTATTTACCTTGACGACCTTGATAAAATCCAAAGAAGAAATCAGCAATATTATTAGCCCTAATCTGACAGCTCGGTTTCAGTCACTATCTCATCACCATTAGTTGCTTCTCTCGACCTTTTCTATAAATACTTTCATCGTAATTGTTCCGATTAACTATTCGCTATGGTACCTAGACTTTATGAATTTAAGCGGAATACTAGATTGGCAACAAGGTCTCAATTTATAGTTTAAATGGATAGACGTAACCGTAAGTTCTATGCTAACAGTTTCTTCATTCGCTCTTCTCGCTAGTGAAACTCTCTTCCGGCTTTTTTCTTTCCAGTTAACTTTTCAAATAATTTTAAATGCAATGTCAATCGTTATCTGCTGTCTTCCTGATTACTCTTCTATTGTTCCTGCTCCTTGATAATGTTTTCAGTTTTCTAATTCTTTCACAGTTAGTAACCCCTTGTGTCTTAGTGGCTTTACTGCCTTACATTTTTTTTGCTTCTGCTCATTATTTGGAAATTTCAAAATCTTTTCACGACGGCAATGACCATATTTGGATGTGGGGTTTATAAATGTTCATGTGGCAACGTCTTTTAACGTGTTATCAATGCGCGATAAAACAGTGTCCCTTTTACCATCGGAATGACGTGTTTATTAGCAGACCTATTTGGCGGCAGATTCGTTGATCGATTTCCCCGATGTAGCATCGGGCGAAGGTAAGGAGAGTGAGTTAGGGTAAGCAGTTGATCGTTATCCCCTTATGTAAATCTAATCACTTTTCTCTGTCCTACTTTCCTTTACCCACCCACCCCAAACTCTTCACACATCACCCCACCACCACCCAACTCTGATCTCAATCAGTTACTCTTGACTGGACGTATTTCGAGAAGCCTCCAATCACCACTCGTTTTGGGGCCAATATCTAAGTGTTGTTGAGAATGTAGCATAATTCGATTTCGAGGTCATTACTTTTCAAACTTTTAAAGTTCATGATAACCGAATTCTGTTGGTATTTTTATCTAAGCCTAAACCTTCACACACACTTGTTCGATGGGACAAATGGTCGCTTTAATGACTGCCTACCTTCCAGTTATCATGCACTTTAGCGTTACAAACTACTTTGAGAAATAACAAAACGTCTGAAATCAATACACGCACAAACATTTTTTATTACCTTTTTTTTTACTTTAAGGTAATAAAGCCACTAAGACACAAGGGGTTACAGGGTTACTGAGTGTGGACGAATTAGAAACAGGCATATTAATAATGAGCGGGAAGATGAGAGAGTATTCAGAAAAACGGTAGATAGCGATTGATATTGTATTTAGACTTTTGTTGTCTGGAAAGTATGCAACCGGAAGATAGTTCCACAAGCGAGAAGTGTGAGAAAAGCAACTGTTAGCATAGAACTTACGGCTACATCTAGCCAACTCAGCTTTAAATTGATGAAATGACACCAGTCTTGTACTGTGCTTAAATTCAAAAAGTCTAGATATCATAGCAACTACCATCAAAGTATTTATAGAAAAGGCATAGAGAAGCAACCTGGCGGTGATGGGAAATTGAGTGAAGCCGAGCCGAGCCACCAGGTCAGGACCAATAATATTGCCGATTCTGTTTTGGATTTTATCGAGAATCTTTAAATATATAGCAGGATCGCCGGACCCTATGTGACAGCAATATCCAAAGGAAGGACGAATGGTAGACTTATAGATACGTAAGCTAGATTCTGGAAAGATGTGTTGCAGTTTTTTGTGTATATATGTACTAGTGAGCTAGCCCAAATGACTTGACTCACTTTATAGCGCACCAATAGAAGATTAACCAATCAGAAGACGTAGAACATTCAATCCGTCGTGTATAAAGGCGGCCATTTTGTCTACTCTACCCGAATGTCCAGTTTCAGCTTGTCAGGCGAAGAGGAACAGAAGGAAGAACTACGCTCTGCTACTTTACCGGAATATCCACTGCTAACCTGAACTACGCTTTCCTACTGTCTTCGAAATATTCACTGCTAACCTCTGGATTCTATACTCGAAGACGACCGTCATCATGAACAACAAGATGGAAAGCAGAAAGGGACAAAAAAGAGATTGATGTCACCCTAACTGAGAATTTGACACGTGCAAAATATATGTAAACCTTTTTTACCTTTCTATCAGCATGGCTGGTGCTAACCTCCAGGTAATGAATAATCCATTGTGACTACTCGGGCTAACATTTTCCGATGACATGAAGTGAAAAGAATATATATAAATCAATTGCTAAATCTGCAAGTAAGAAAGTTGGTTCACTGCGTCGTGCGAGACAATCTTTCTTGCCAGAATCTAACATATAAGTCTACCATTCGTCCTTGCTTTGAATATTGCTGCCACATATGGCTTAGTGCTTCTGCTATAGATTTAGAGATCCTTGATAAAATCCAGAGAAGGAATCAGCAATGTTATTGGTCCTAACCTGGCATCTCGCCTTCAGCCACTTTCCCACGTAGCTTCCCTGTGACTTTTCTATAAATACTTTCCTGGTAATTGTTCTGATGAGTTTTCCTCTGGGACATCTAGATTTTATGAACTTAAACGTAATAAGCAAGTTCTTGTTATTTTGAAATTGAAATGGCTAGATGTAACCGTAAGTTTTATGTTAACAGCTTCTTACGGCTTCATGCTTCCCAGTCAAGCATTCCCATGTGGAATATTTAATGAAAACTAAATCAAATTATTTAAAATATAAATTATATAACGATTAAGTTTTTTTAACCATGGTACTCCAAGAAAGGTGATAAAGCCACTAAGACGCAAGGCTTTACGGAGGGTGAAAGTGTGTGGGGTAAAAAGACATTATTAAGGAGAGATGTCAATAAAAGAACAGGATTCAATGGGACAGAAGATAACGATAAAAAATCAAATAAAAATCAAACGCTCAACTGCTTAATGTGAATCACAAGATAGAGCTAGCTAGATAGATAGATAGCCAGATACCTAGATAGATAGGCAAACAGATAGATAGATAGATAGATAGATAGATAGATAGATAGATATAAATAGACAGACAGACAAGCAGATAGATAGATAGATAGATAGATAGGCAGACAGACTGATAGATAGATAGATAGATAGATAGACAAACAGATAGATAGATAGATAGATAGATAGGCAGACAGAGATAAATAGACAAACATACATACATACAGATAGATAGATAGATAGATAGATAGATAGATAGAAAGAAAGGCAAACAGAGAAATAGATAGATAGATAGGCAGACAGACTGATAGATAGACAAACAGATAGATAGATAGATAGATAAATAGATAGATAGACAAACAGACAGACAAGCAGATAGATAGATAGACTGATAGATAGACAAACAGATAGATAGGGAAATAAATAGGCAGATAGATAGATAGATAGATAGATAGATAGATAGATAGATAGATAGGCAGACAAACAGAGAGATAAATAGACAAACATACATACAGATAGATAGATAGATAGATAGATAGAAAGGCAAACAGAGAAAAGAGGAAAGAGATAGACAACCAGATTGATATTTAGAGAGATAGGCAGACAGACAGACAGATAGATAGATAGATAGACAAACAGACAGACAGGTAGATAGATAGATAAGGATGGTGACTGTTGTACGAGAAATTGAATTGTGACAGATAAACAAGGGGTAGCAGAGTGAGCCCAAGTGAAGTTGTAAGTAGCGGACAAACAACTAAACCGTTCGGTTTGCAGAAAGAGAATGCTACAAAAAAAAAAAAAAAAAACTATGTCCGCCATGCTTCGCCAAATCGACCAATAATTAGAAAGCAACAAAACTTGCTAACTAGAGCATTTGGTCCTTCATAGACGGAGGAAAGCAACTATCACGTTAAAGGACACTGAACGGCAGTCGTTAGAATGAACAAAAAAAATATAAGTAGAACGGCTAAAAGAAAAGCAAAAAAAAGAGAGAAATGGAAAGAAATGTAGAGGAATTAAAAACGTTTTTATTCAAGTGATGTCAAAAGGAGACAATTCGAACAACTCATTTACAGATTAATGTCACTGCAGAAACAGTATGAAACAAGTCGGGTGGTGGAGACAATTTTTTTATATTCAGCTTCACCGAAAAGGAACAGTTAAGGTCAATGGCGGGAAAAGTAATTGACATCCGCATCCCTCCAGAACAAGACGAGTGAAAATAATAAGGATTTCCCTGACAAGTGTCATTAACTTTGCTTATCCTCCCTGTTTTCTCGGTCGGTCTTTTCCAGAGAATTTTACATTTAGTATTTTTGACAGCGTTTCCTGCAAATGAATGCCATCGATTTTCGTTTCATCACTGAGAAACACAATGGCGGACAAGATGTGCGCAGGCGCTGTAAAATTAATTGCACACACACACACACACATATATATATATATATATATAAAGGGAAGAGGTTATAGTAGTTTCAACGAGAGAAAAGTGTGTATATACACAAACGGTTTTGGTTGTAATGAGCATTTTTATAAATTATACTTTATTTTCCATAATTTTGCATAATTATGGAAAATAAAGCATAATGTTTTTAAAAAAATACACATTACAACCAAAAACGTTTGCGTTTTCTCTCTTCTTTTTAATATATATATATATATATATATATATATATATACAGAGTGCGGCAAAATGTGACATATTTGTAGGTATAATAAAAGCGAAATAGAGTAAAGAAAGAAAAATGTGTTTTTATTTTCGAAATGTACATACAATGCCATTTTTTTCATATCGTTTTCAGTTGCCAACATGAATTGGATCTGCAAGGATCGTGCTTTCATTGTGGAAACATTTATCAAGAGCAACGAATCGGGAACTGCAACAGAAAGTGCGTTGGCCCGTTCGATCACCTGATTTTCTTTTTCTCTGGGGTTACTTGAAATCAAAGATATACACACATCGCCCTTAATCAATTGAAGAATTTAAAAGAAATTGCTCCCATTCCACATGAAATGAATGCTTTTATTAAACCTGCAAAATGTGTCAGATCATTTTGCCGCACTATATATATATATATATATATATATATATATATATATATATAAAATATAAAAAGCTCAAACACTAATATTCCATGGTTATTATTTATTAGATTGGAATCGTAATCACGATGCACTATATCAGACCTACGAATTCAAAACTGAATTTGTAGAACTGATGAATTGGATCGTGATTACGATTCCAATGTAATAAATTATAACCATGGAATATAAGTGTTTGAGCCTTTTTATACTATATTCTTACTCTGCCCTGGTCATTGAGTTCTTCCTGGATTCTATCCTTTGGAATTTATATATATATATATATATATATATATATATATATATATATATATATATATATATATATATTGACCACTAATATTATCTATCTATCTATCTATATATATATATATTTAAGACCTTTTTTATGTTTATACATTCTTTTTATAGATACAAATATTTAAGTAAATGCTCTGTTTTATAATTAACAGTATTTATAACATTTACCGGCCTAAATATCCGAGAAATCTTCATAGAAATTCAGGCCGGTAAATGTTATTAATACTGTTTATTATAAAACAGAGCATTTACTTAAATATTTGTATCTATAAAAAGAATGTATAAACATAAAATGTCTTAAAATAGATGTCGGACTTTTGTCCATGTCATAATATATATATATATATATATATATATATATATATATATATATATAATAGCCACTAGTATTTGAGAATATCCGTCTTCTAGAATGGCTAGCCAATCCCTATTGCAGATGCTTGCTCAGGCACATTTGTGTTTGTTCAACACCCACACAACCCAACCGGTGGTTTATACTGCAACTATGCTGAGCATAACTTAGATATAGTTTCTGGTAGAGAACGTGTTATCTAGCACGATCAACAATCTGAACAACACCTGCACACTCAAATCCTCGGTCACGATGACTTGTGACTTCGTGTTAGTACAGCTATCGACGGCCCCAAGTGCTCCGTCTACCCAATTTCACTCACAAGGCTTGGGTTAACCCATGGTATGGTTTTCAGGCATTTCCCAAAGGTGACCTACGCTGGGATCTTCGCCCTCCTGACCGATAACATCAGGAAGTCTTCTCCCTGACAAATCAACCATGGACGGAAAGCGAACGTTCTAACCACTCGGCTACGCGACGAGAAGATGGGTGCTGGTCTCTACTTTCTCCCTTATAATGAGAAAGGAGAGAGACTATCCTTAATGGCAAAATCCTTTCGGGTCAGAGCAACCCAGGGGACATGATGGCTTCACGCTCAAAGGCCAGCATTGTGACTCCTCATCGTGGTGTGTCATCAGACTTTCAAAAGATGCATACTTAAGAAATGGTCCTTAAAAACATGATATATATATATATATATATATATATATATATATATATATATATATATAGCGGAAAATGATCTGACACATTTGGAGGATTAATAAAAGCGAAATAGAGTAAAGAACAAAAATATGTCTTTATTTTCCGAAATATATAATATATATATATATATATATATATATATATATATATATATATATATATATATCATGTCGAATTTTTTTATCAAGTCTATTTATTCACAGTAAAATTGGTATTAACCAACCGATGTTGGTAAAATTGGTGAGATTCGCATATATTTAACAAATATACACTCTGCATTTTAGTTTCAGTTCAGTCATGTGCCATGCGTAATACTTTCTTAGGCGATCATGTATCTTTCGATACATGACTGACGAGGCCTTTTTTTTCTGCAGTAGGTTGCCATTTCTTTCTGCGGTAGACCTGTTGCCACCCAAGGCTATAGAACCCGCTCTGTCCTGCTATTTACCCATAGCTGTGGGGAGAAGAAGAGCATTCATACCATTCCCAAGGGTATTAGCATGTAAGTGAATGTAAGGGATTCGACTGGAAATCGAACTCGGCTCTCCGATTTTATCAATCCGAGCCGCTATTCATTGCTCCACCGTTTATAATGTCTTACTTGTGGATGGAAAAATATAATATGCAATTTAAATATTTGCCTCATAAATAAATATATATAATATCATGATTATGGAATTTTACTTTTTCAGTTTCTTCATATAAAGATTGTCACGAGGCTGTAAAAAAGATATCACCCCTCTCCCCAGATAAGAAATAAGGAATTAAAACTCTTTAAGAATACTATTTTTTTCTCTCCTTAAAAATGTTTTTTTTTGTTTCACAATATTATTTTACACGCAGCAATTCACCCCGCGTCTTAGTGGCTTTATTTCCTTGCTTTGAGATGAAAGGACTAACAAATCCTTAATGCGTAATAAGGAAAGCGCATTGGAAATTTGAACAGAAATCACCGAACAATAAAAAAAGAAAAGAAAAAGAAAACGTAAAACAGTGTCAAAAATAACTTTATATTTTTTATATTGATCATAACATCGTCGTCGGCTCCCAGTTGTGTCCGAGTATCGGCTTCTGTCAATCTTTTAAGTCCTATCTTCACGGTTGATGTCTATGTTTGGCATGACTTGCGAAGCCCAGTCGGTGGTGGAATAGTTGCGGACAGTGCTCACAGGGGAGGATAGGTGGATGACGGGGTCATTCACAGCGCTCTCTTCTCCTTCGTCGCCTTGCCTCTTCATTCTCCCTCCTCCTTTCCTCGAAGTCCGCGATGCCATCGCGTATTGATCTCCTCCACGTCGTTCGCTCCCTGGCAGTTTCTTCCCACGAGGACGAGCTGATGTTGGTAAGTGTCTGGGTGCGCTTTACTTGGTCCTTGTAGCGCATTTTGGGTGCTCCTCGTGGTCTGGTCCCAATGGCCAGCTCGCCATATAGGATTTTCTTGGGGAGCCTGGAAGGATCCATCCTGTGGACGTGTCCTGCCCAGCGGAGGCGTGGTAGATGATAGTGGCCTCGACGCTGCTCACTGAGGCTCTTCTGTGTCGGTGGTGTAGCTCTCCCAAGAGATGTTAAGGATTTGCCTTAGTTTCAGATGCTGGAAGCGTGCTAGCATTTTTACCTCGCTTCTATATAGGGTCCATATTTTGCAAGCGTATAAAAGGGTGGAGAGGACTACTTGGTGGCCATCGTCAGTGCGTGGTTTTTAAATATGCGGCCGTTGAGTCGGCCAAAGGCGGAGTGGGCTGCCCTGATTCTATTCTCCACGTCCTTTCTGCATGTGGGTGTTGATGTTGGGGGCACACAACATAAAATCTACTGAAAATAGCTGTATAGATTTTATAATGAGAAAATTATGAAAAAATTTTAAATAGCTGTAGATTTTAATACTGAAAACAACATAAATGAATGCTAAATACAGGCTGCAAGGGATAAATTGTTGTCTAAATTATGCAAAAATGAAAATAACACTGACATCTCATTTTAACAGAAATATTTACCAAAGTTCCACAAAAATATCTTAAAATACTAAAGAGTAAATTTATTCAATAAAATCGCCATTGGCTTTATCCACGGCTTTCAGACAACTTCGGAATCTCCTGCAACTCTTCTGGATGGTCTCCTTGTTTAAGTTGGTGAATGCCGCCATAATCGTTACCTTCAATTCATCTTTCGTGTTACAATGAGTTTCTGTGGTAGAATTTTAATATTGAATTAAACATAAAAAGCTACTAAAATATTTGTAGAGTTTTAATATTAAAAACAGCATAAAATCTACTAGTAATGGATAAAGAATATTAAACACGATAAAAACTACTAAATTATCTGTAGAATTTTAATATTGAACACGACAAAAAGCAAACATATAACTGTGAAGTTTTAATAAGAAACAATATAAAAACTATTAAAAATCTTTGTAGTGTTTTAACATCGTGCACAGCATCAAAATACTAAATCCAGTTTTAATATTAAACGCAGTATTAAAAATAAATGTAGAGTTATGATATAATGGAATATGCGTACACCTGTGTTCCCTCAAATGGAGTGTGATTGGCTGGTGTCCGTCATAAATACCGACGGACGTGTAGGTACTAATCAGAGCCTTAATCTGAGAGCTAAGTCTATAACGACGCCCATTGGACTACACCATTGATCTACACTTCATACCTGCGACTACGACGCGTACCAGTCGATTACTGCTACCGTATTCTACTTGGTTATAGTAGTCAAAACCACTTAGCTACTTCGTTCAAATAGATCCCTTTCCGGGACATATCAAGTTATAATATGAACATGACATAAAAAAAAAATACCAAAATATCTGTAAAATGTTCATACTGAACACAGCATTAAAAAAGACTAGTAAAATATTTGTCAAGTTTAAATATTGAACACTGAATAAAAATAGTAAATATAGCCGATGGGTTTTAATATTGAACACAAAATTAAAAACAAAAAACGACTAAAATAGTTGTTACCCTTTGTCCTATTTGTTTTCAATATGTCCTGCGTGTGTCAACTTCTCCAAGCTTTCTTTCCTCGTTATGGACCCCAGAAATCTCAACTGTATCATTGTAATCTTAAGCACAAGTGTTCTTTTTTAAACCCTTTTTTTAAAACTTCCGCATTGCTCTCATGTTCCATCAATGTTATTCTCGACATCCTTTTGTAGAAAAACATTACTGTTGCCTCAAGTTTCCACTTCATCTGTGAGGAAATTGTCCAGCATTCACTGTCATATAGGAGGATTGATATGGCATAGAACGGGATTTACTTCTACGTGTGTCTGTGAAAAATGATCGATAAAATAAATTCTTAGCATCCTTCTGCAGAATCACATCTGTGTTGCTTCAAGTGTCCAGCATTTGCGGCTCCAGAGTAGCTTAGCTCTGTTTTCCTTTTTGTTTTTAACGAAATATTCTCATTTCTTAAAACTTTAGCCTTTGAAGAATATATTTCTTGCTATTTCAATGTCTCTTTGCATTTGGGGGTCATATCTTCTGTCGTCTGTTAGAATTTAAACAGTTAAATTTTTATACTTCCTTAAGTTAGGTCTTTATTTCGTCGCTAGATTTTTTTTTGCCGTCCCTGTTACGGCGTCCGAAAACTTTAAATCTTTTTATCCGTATTCCTTTTTTTGAAAACTCCAAACAGCTATCTTTGTCTCTGTCTATTCCAGAAGTGGCTACTCTGGGCGCCATATTGGTCATGCCACCCGATTTTCGCTTGATTCTCTTGACTGCTCTAGCAGAAAATTTCGCGGATCACTGCTGCCAATTTTCTTGGAACTAAAAGAAGTCTGGTATTTCTTGTGATTATGCAGAATTTTGTCAAGAGTATTATTTTCAGTTTCATCATCAATATTGCAATTTTTATTTTGCTTGTAGAAAGAAATAGGACTAAAAATATGAAATTGTATGAATCAGTTTTAGCATTGCGTGTCCTACTTATGTTTAAACGTCCAAGATAATAAAAATATTAGTTTAAAAACTACTATATATTAAACCAGAACGAAAATCGGTAGAATTTTTAAGTGAATCTCAAATATAATATTTAGCGTTTTTAAGTGAATCTCAGTGAATCTCAGGTATTTCGACATCGACTTATTCAACAACATATGTACCATTTAATAAAATGGTAAATATGCTGTTGATGCCACACATTTATCTATTGTTGTGGTAACTTCCTGATTCTTCTCAAAACTTGGCATCTTCTTGGGTGATGATCTACTCTGAGTGTTTTTTTACAAGTGAAAATCTCTGTCAAGTTGTAGCAAGTTCTGCCGGGACTGCAAAGAGATGTGAAATCTGGGTGTCGTCTTCCATCACGTCGACGTCTTTTCGATTGGCCAATTCCAGACAATTCCAATTGGTCAAATTGGGAGAACTACTTCTCTGAATTCAGTGTCTTATTTGGCGGAAGAAGCTCATAATACACTAAGCCCTTCCTATCCCATCAGATGCCCAACATCACTTCCTTCGGATACAGACCGGCTTTTGGAGTGGTTAACGATGGCTCGTTTTCGTTTTTTTTTTTGCTTTTATTTTCTCATGGCATTTTTCGATTCACATTGTTGTAAATGATCCACTTTTCATCGCCATCTTTTCAAAAACGTAAATGGCATCTAAATTTGTTCAAATGTCTCACAACGATCATATGAGATATGTGGAGTACCTTTGCGACGTCCAGTGTCGTGTGACCTGGATTAGTTTTAATCAGCATTACCATTCAGTATTATCAAGAACTACAGCCTTCCGGGACGTTCTCGGTCTGTCAGATTAAAATTTCCGCTTCTTAAGCTGGCAAACCACTTACGAATAATATTCTCAGCTAAAGCACCGTCTCCATAAACGACACTTATTGCTGTTTGTATCGTGATTTTACTTTTCGGAAATAAAAGAGCATCAAGTGACGATAATGCATCATATTTTACCCTATTTTCACTTTCAAGGTCAAAACTTTTGAAATTCACCACCCACACATGAATAATACAGAAAGGTTCGTTAAACTGTAACCTTACTGGATATGTATATATATATGCCATAAACTTCGGTCACGTATAAAGTGAAATCACTTGTTCAAATACCACTTAAATGATAAACGTTTTAAACATTTTTTCCAACCAAACAGAATGAAATAAAGTGTGTTTTTTTTTCTCCAAAGTAGGGGTTGTATTCATTTTCGGACGATAACATGTTTATAGTAGGGCAATGGATTTTGAAATTCGTAGAATTTAAAGATAAATCATAGCTGTTCTGGTTGTATAATGTTCCACTAGAAATAATTAAATCCTGTTATGTTTGGTTTCGAAAAAATTTAAATTTCTCCAAAAGAATACAATAAAATAAATCATAATCTGTCATCATTGATGGTCGATACTGTATTCACATATATGAACGCAATGTGTAATAATATATAAGTTTGTGTGTCTGTATGTGTGCGTGATACTTTTACAAATTGCACAGATACTACACCATATTTTCTTGTCGCCCCACGCAGGCAGGATGTGACAAAAGGTCGGTTTAATGTGGAGAGCCCGAGAGCGTGCATCCGCGCCAGGTCCCAAAATAGCCTAGTTCCCGCAACAACCGGTTGCGTTGGTATCGATCACCATTGTTTCGTTCGGTGAGGGAGGTAGCCTCGCGGGCAGCTGTTACCTCGAAACCCGGCAACTGTTAATGATATTTTCACTTAGGGCACTGTCCGCAAAGACACGACTGAGTTGTGGTCTGTCCGAAGATAGAGATACAACTGAGAGATGAAGTGCAGTTTATCTACACGAGTGCTGTTACTACACTTTGATCCCAGCCAAAAGGCCGAAAAATCTATTGAATCTTGTTGCCGCCTCACGCTGGCAGGATATTACACAAGTTCAAATCAATTTTTATTCTAGCTTCATAAATGTTTTGAAAGTGGCTGTAATTCGTTTGATAAAGTTTTTTTTTTCTTAATAAACATTTGTTGATTATCTGGAAAAAAGTGACAGTTTTGGGGATATTATCTTAGAGGTTCACTTATATTTGCGAAGCATATATATATATATATATATATATATATATATATATATATATATATATATATATATATGAATAGTTACACTCGTTTTGAAAAGCCTCGGTTGGCTTAACTAGTAATATAACAAATTGATGTCCGAGTAAAAATTGGAAAAAATAAAAAAAAGAAAGAAGCAGGAACATAATACTGTACAGAATCCTCTCGTCAAGTGCTTTAGCTCCAATCCAAAGAACAAAAAAAAAAAACAAACATGTAAAGACTAAACGTAAAGTGCTCAATACACGAAGTAGAGCAACAATGAAAATAATCCTAAGGAACCAGCTAAACCTACCTAGGTTTCACCTAAACGGATTTTCAGGGTAATATATATATATATATATATATATATATATATATATATATATATATATATAGTTTATGCAAATTTAGGTAATCCGTATGGGTAGACCTGA